GACCTCCGGCACCGACCGCTAACGCTGACCTCCGGCACCGACCGCTAACCCTGACCTCCTGCACCGACCGCTAACCCGAACTCGGGCACCGACCGCTAACCCTGACTGCCGACACTGACCGCTAACCCTGACTGCTAACCCAACCGCTGGCAGGCTGCGGCTCGGTCCTGGCCCCTCCTCTTCCCCGTCCAGTTCTGTCCCTCTCTGCCAGGCAATCTTTTGGCTTAATGTCACCTAGAGGCTGGTGACTATCGCTTTCTCTCCCTCCCCTCTCCTTGAACGCCACCTCCTCTGCCGCCTCCTCCTTTTCAATGTCTAAGAAGCAACTCACCGGGAGCAGGCCCCACGTTTCCCACTCAGACCTGCTCCTCCCCAGCGAGCCACTCGGGTGCTCGGGCTCACACTGAGGCCTCGTCCCCGGCTCCCTTGTCCCTCGCTTCTAAAACGATGCAGGGAGAATGCCGCCCATGTGGCTCCGGAAAGCACCCAGATTTGTCCGCCTCTCATCACCACCAGGGCCCCCTCCCCACCCAGGCCACCATCCTTGCTCGCCCACGCCATGGCCAGGCCTCCTCGCTGGCCTCCCTGCCCTTCTCTCGTCGCCACAGTCCCTCCTGCCAAGAGCAGTCACGTCAGTCTCACGCCACTGTCCTGCTTGGAAGAGTCGAAGTAACAGCTCTGAGCATAGGTGCTGTGTGAGCCGGGCCCACCTGCCTTCTCTGGCCCATTGGCCCTCTCCGCTCCGCGCTGGGCTCTGGCTCCATCCTCCTCTTGTCCCTCACATGCCACCTGCACTCCCCTCTCCGGGCCTTATGCCTGCGGTTCCCCCCGTGCAGCGGGCTCTTCCAGGCCTGCCCCTCGCTCCATCAACCCCGACCCCCAGCTCCTCGGCACCCCGTCCCTGACGGCACAGCAGACCCCTCACACCAGCTCCCCGTCTCTTCTTTTCCACACAGAATCTGCTGCCATCTGAAGGGACTTGCTCATGTGCTTCTCGCCCGACTTCCCCAGCAGGAATGGGAGCCCTGGGGGGCCGGGGCCGCGCTTGCCAGGTTCACGGGATGCCCGCTGCCTCGAACGCCTGCTTGGGTTTTCACGGGCATGCAACAAATATTCATGGAACTAGCCAGTGTGACGGGCGGCAGGAACTGGGACGGTCACAAGCTATACGCAGAGTGACAAGTTTGGGCTTGGAAGGCTCTCAAAAAATAAAAAAAATTAAAAAATAAAGGCAATGTGCGACACGGCAAGTCTGGATGCATTCGGATCGCAGAGGAACGGTCCAGGAACTGAAAGTGACGGAGGCTGCTGGGTCAGCCAGGCGTCCTGGACAGGTGCTCCTCTCGCGGCCCAGGACCCCAGCACCAGCGCCCGTGGACACTGGTCTGGGGTGGGGCACCAGCGTGTGTCACCCTCTCTGCTTCCGTGATCCTCCATCACAGAGGCAAGGACCCCCAGCCGGTGGGTACTGAGGATAAGGTCGGTATGTCTGTCTGTCTGTTCTCAGGCCTGCTCCTGTCCTTCAAGAAGTGGCGGGAGAACTGTAATC